CGGTCAATAGATTGGATACCAGTGATTAATTCAAAAAATTTATTTAATGTTAAAATTAGTTTCTAATATTTATTTGAATGATCTTTTTTAGTTTTATTTCTTTTAGTGTTTAACCTTAAATGTTTTAATTTTTGGTTAAAATGACCACTCTCTTAGATGAAAACAATTAGTTGACTAATGATTAACATATATGATTGAGATGACATTTTTATATGTGTTTAATTGTTGACGTGAAACATGTCATGTCATCATCGTAGGTGACGTAGCATGTGACACATCAACAATTTATCGTATGTGAAAATTTCATGTCAATAACATACGTTAACCATTAGTCAACTAACGATTTTCAATAGCTGGGGTCATTTTGATAAAAGATTGATATGTTGAGGGCTAAAGTGCTCCAAAAAAATAAGGACTAAAATGATTATCTGAACAAAAGTTAAAGGGCTAATTTTGATATTGTACCTAAAAATTCAAACTATCATGCAAATACTACATATGCAACCTCGTAGTAGCATAGTAGACAAATAAGCTAAACAATCCAGAAGAATTATTAGATATTAACTTAAATTTTAATTAAAAATTAAATTAAATTTTGTTTTCATTTTATCAATAGAGTTGGTTCAAGTGATAAGTATTTTGATATCGCTTAAGCAATGTCTTAGGTTCGAATCTTTGTGTATACAGAAAATCCTCGCCTGAAAACTCACACACCAAAGCCAGATCTACGAGACATGTTGATCCGAATTAGTCAGGACTAAAGATGGTGGAGTGGCAACGAACCAAAACAAACTTATAGGTTGTTTTGCAAAATTGATTTGAATACATCCACAAACAATCACAAAAATGAATTTAACCATCAAAAGATCACCGGAAATCACAAATCAAATACGAACCAAAGAGGTAGGCGAACAACATGCTATAAGATAAATGAAACGTGCCACAAGAGTAGAGTAAAGTGTGTCACAAGAGTAGAGTTAAAACATGCAAAAATAACAGATGAACATGCGTAAAATATAAAAAAAAAATCAAACGAAATAAATTTTTATTAAAAAATAAAAAATTGAATAAAAATAACAAACAAAAGAGGAATATAAGAAAACTATGAAAAAAGAAAAAGATGAATACCCAACTCATACGTTCCCCCTCTTTTGCATAAACGAATGACAAAGGAAGAAGAAAAAAAAACTCTCCTCTTTTCCCCTTTCATATTCGGTCCATAGCCCCAATCTATTTAGAAAATGACTTTTCTTATATTTCTTTATTTTAGTTTAATTCATATATAACAATGTCCAAGGTGTTGAGCTAAGAACGTATGTGTGATATATGTACAACGTGTAGTTTCACTGATAAAAAAATATGATTTTGTAAATATGTGAAGTAGAGCAATTGTATCTATAAAGTATACGTATCTTATTAAAAAGATTATAGCAATTCTAAATAGATACTATCTTTTAATCATCACATATTATTAAAAAAAATCCTACTTACTCCAAAATGGAGTATTTAGGCTAAAGATTTGGTCCAATGAAATGAATTGTTTTAAAAGTTTAATACCTAATCATTGATATTTTATTGAATTCCTTATCCAATCAAATATATTTCATTACAATCATAGATAATCGTATGCTTGTATTATTAAAAAAAACTTGATCTATAGTAACTTATTTTAATGCGTTAATAACCCTGTAATACCCCAAATATCGGGTCGATGACCATAATGAAAGGATTTAAAATTTGGTGGATTTAACTGAATAAAGGGTAAAGTACAAGAAAGGAATTAAGAAATTTGGCTAAGAATAATTATTAAGAATGGAAGAATGGAGGGCCAATTTAGTCTTTTAAATAGAATGAATTTAATATTTTTTAAAAGGGGATATTTAATAAGTTTGGTAAGGAGAAATGGGAAAAAGCTGGTAAGAACTTGGTTTTCTTCTCCTTCTTCCCGTGTTACCATTTTCCCCATAGCTAAATGTAAGACTTCATCTAACTAGTTTTTCCTTTCGTTTTTGGTTTGGTCTAGAAACCTTAAGTGACGTGGAAGCTTAAGAATGGTTTAAAGAGGATTAAAACTAAGAGATGAATGATTTATTTGAGATTGAAGAAAATGAGTTTTTGAGTTATATGTTAAGATATGAGTTTTTATAGAGGTTTACAAGTATATTTGACTTGTCAAAGATGTAAATAAGAGATTAGAAGCCTTGAAAGTGATTAAAAATATGTATGAAAAAGTAGGGTGATTCTTAGTTTGAGATATTCTTTAGAGATTTTAGATGTTATAAGAAGCTAAATGGAGGAAAGTTAGTTGGGTTAAGTGATGATAAGTTTAAGGGTATTGTTGGAGGTAAAAGTAAGAGAATTTAACGAAATTTGTGTAAAAATCGAAATAAAAAATGAAAATTCTAGGTAAGGGTATCGGTACAAGAAGAATAGTATCGATACTATAGGTTTAAATTTGAAGAAATACGATGAACATTATCGATACTGATGCAAGTAGTATCGATATTGTTGAGGTTATTGATACTAATAGGAAGGTATCGATACTATGAATTCCAGAATGCAAAAATGGTATCGATACTGAAAGGGAGTATCGATATCATAGTATATAAGTATCGATAACATAGTAGGGATATCGATACTATTGAGCCTGGAATTGTAAGATAGGATAAATTTTTAATAGAATTTGAAAATAATAGTATTTTTAAGTATTATTAAAGGAATAATTGTTAGAAAGTATACTAACATTTGGATGGTATGTGTAATTATGGATGCTTGTGTAGATCATAACCAAGCTCCAGAGTCAAGCAAGAAAAAGGGCAAAGATAAAGTTGTCGAATAGCTGGACATCCTTAAAGCATATTAGTGTGGCATATCAGGTGAGTGCATTTATTGTACTTATATGAAAGGAGGAAGACTCGCGATGAATCAACCTCGAATGTTTTGTTAAATGTATGTTTTATAGCATTTTGGTATATTTTCATAATGTGTATGGGAATGATATTATGAATAAGTTTTAGATTATGAACTGCTCTAAAATGAATGGATGAATAGTGATGTTGTTCAATGGTTACCGATGTTGCCAAAATAAATGTCTAAATCTGTGAATTGGACTTAAAAGCCCATTGTATGTATATTGAGAGTCATAGGTGTATTTCGGCATAAAAGGTGCCACTAATGAAAGTTATCGATTGATTTTGTTTAATGTATAACGGTGCATTTTCGGCATAAAAGGTGTCACCTATGGTATTCATAAAAGGTGAATTGCCATTTTGACATACTTCGTGTATGAAAGTTATCGATCGATTTTGTTTAATGCATAACAGTGCATTTTCGGCATAAAAGGTGTCACTCATGGTATTCATAAAAGATGAATAACCATTTCGGCACTTCGGTGCAATGCATGTACCTTACATTCTCATTTGACATACATTGGGTAAAATACAGGATAATTAGGAAAATATACAGAAAGATAAGTATGATAGGCATACTAAGAATAGCTTCGATGACTATAGGAAAGAAACTTGGTTTGATAAAATGATTTTAATTATTCTTATGAATTATACGATTTAGTTCGTATTTCGATAGCCATAATATACTTATGTATAAATTGCAGTTCCTTTACATTATTATGACTCACTAAGTAAATACTTAGCGTGTGTTGATTTCACGCATAGGTAGGAGCAAAGACTAGCCGAGTAAGGACTGCAGCAGAGATCATCAATCCAAGATTGACAAATCAGTAACTTTAGGACAATTATGTCTACTTTTGATAATTAGATGGCATGTATTTGAACTTACGAAAATGCTCTGAAATGTATTAAAGTTATAATTTTTTTAATATGTTACAAAGAATGTTTTATTATTATATTAAAATGTTTTATTTTATTTTCGAAACAAAATTTTATGGGTTTTACAAATAAATATATGTTTTTAAAAGTCATATGACACTTGTGACTTGTGTACGGAAACATATACAAGAAATGGGTGTTACAAACCCCTCATATTCCATGCTTAGTTGCTTACATTCTTTAGTTTAAATTTCATAGAAATTAACTTCAAAATATTATATGAAAATTAGTTGTAACTTGGACTCATAAGTAAATAATATTTTTTGTGTAAACCCTAATAAAAATAAAAATTATCGAATTTTAGTGTACTATTAAAATACACTTAAAATTTAGTAAAATTCCACGGCATAAATCATGAAAAAGATAAAAATAAAAATAGTAAAACATATAAAAAAAATAGAATTGTGGTAGACATGACTAAAGTGTTTATTCAATATATATATAGGTGTGATCATTAAGTCAAGTGAATATATTCAATTTTTATATATAAATAATAGTTAGAGAAAACAACAATTGCTTGAAGGAATTAAGCCAGTTACGTTTATCTTTTGTAGATCATAATCAGCAATTGCAATTAAGCCAAACGATTCCAATTGATTTTTACAATCTTTTGTAAATCAGTTTTATAAACATTAGGTTTTATTTTTACATTTTGGAGATAGATAGAATGCAAATGAACATAACTTTCCATAAACTATTCGTATAACGCTCATTCATGTACTTAAGTTAAATGAATAAGTCTGGACGAAGTTTTTTATGTTTGTTTATTTATTAACGAATATGAACAAAACTTTTTGTTCATTTATTAAACAAACGAACAGGAGTAGAAGTACACTCAATTCATTTATGTTCACGAATAAACGAATAAGTTCGTTTATAATCTCATTTATCCAATTCTATTTTTTCTTTCATTTTTTTCTTTACATTTTAAATATTGGTGCAAGTAAAGACTAGATTGAACACGGGTTGAACTTTGAAGTTCAAATTGTCAAGCTTAAAGAACTCAAGGACTAAAGGCACAATTTCACCATTTCTAAATACATAAACCCACATGTTTACAATAGGTATGGAATAGCACACTTGCTTTGGTGGAAAAGAGAATAGAAAACAACTATAGGTAAATTTAAACCATCATAAAACACAGGAAGGCTTTCATGGCTCCGGCTTGCTACCTTTTAACCGCATTGGCTGAAGAGCCTTCTGATTTGCCTCGCCACAAAATTGAATGAATGGCCAAGATCCATGGAAACAAATCCTCTCTATTTCCTGTCCACAAGCACATCAATGGAACAATTTATAATAACGCAAGGAAAACAACTTTTTGCAGGGAAAAATATGTCCACGGTGAAATGATACCGAGTAACCGAACCCTCTACTTTTCCATGTAAACATGAGTCTCTTTGATATTGCCGGTTTTGTACAAAATCAATATGAAAAAAAAAAACTGTAGAATTGGAATCATAATAAGAGGTCATGTAACATCGGTTTCAGGTCTCGATCAAACACGTAAATATTATCAAATTCAAACTGACCTTCCACTCTTTGCTGATGGGGGAATTAGGCCTCTCTTCTCTAACCTTTTAAATCTATCTCTTGCAAGTGTAGCACAACCCTTTATGCAACATAATAATAATAATAAAAAAACATGGAATCAGTCAACTTGTATTACCCAACAGTAAAATTAAAAAATAAAAATTGTATACCTTAAGCTTGCGAAGAGATCCAGTAAACTCTTCAGATAAGAGAACTTGTGGAGGAGCAGGCTGGAATCTGGAAATTATGAACAATATAGATCAACCAGGTGTCTTCCTAATTCCTTAAAATGTTGAGAAACTACTGCATTATATTCAGATCACTCAATGCATCAAGTGAAATCAAACATACAAATTGAAAGAAAAAAAATAACTTGAAAGAGTGCAAAAGATTTAATTTTATATATCAAATAAGTTTTGAAATTTTGATCATTGCCATTAAAATCACCAATATACAGTTAATTAATTATGCTCATTATATATTGGAAAAATAGATGACAAGTGAGAACTTATAAAAAGCAGTTGCATACTTGTATTTGCCCAGGGTTGGTGGACAAGCCTTGAGTCTTTCTTGTTTAACTATGGCCCTTCGAATATGTTTATTTTGCTTCTCCTCACCCTCTTTGGCTATTTATTGTAAGATATCTGGTATGCTGCATCCAAAAGATAATAAAACATACATCCTCAGCACGTAACTAATAGTCACATTAGAGACAGCTAAATGTACTTGTCAATGTCTTTTGTAAGCTCCTCTTTCTTTTTGTCTTCAGCTTCTCTTTTTTGAATCTCTTTCCTTCTAGCTCTCTTATTTAACTCAACTCGAGTCACCCTCTTTGTCTTGAGAGGCCAGCAGCATGATAGAAGCAGAATCAATATATAGATCAAGAATTCATGATAAAATTAAATATGAATTCCTTAAGTGTGAGGGTAATCCCACAAGCTAGCGATCCACATACAAAAGCTAGTTTGAGATTGTTGTAAAGTAAAAAAAAAAAAGGGGCTAGCAGCCTGCGGCTAAAATGGTCTAAGGTGGCTGCCTAACTTTGTTTGAATTAAAAACGGGAAAAATGCATTTTAGTCCCTGCATACTTTAGGATATTTATAAGATTAGTCCTTAAGCTTCAACTATAAATACCCTAACTCATTTAGCTTCAAAATCATCCCCAAATCATTCTAGCTCTCTCTCAAGTATTTTTTGTAAACACCTGTAAAATTTCTCCCTTTAGTAAAAGATCTACAGCCAGGGATTTAAATAGCGTTAGCGGTCATGTTTTCGGTCGCGTCACGTTTATCGCGGTTGCGGATATTACGGATGCCATCGCGGTCACTGCGGGTGTCGCAGTCGTGAATTTTTTTAAATTTCACACACTTATCTTAAAATATAATAACAATAATTATAATTATAAGGAATCGTTTTTAATGATTTTTAGAATGTTTTCTAAGCGAAAGTGACATATTTAAAGAACATAAAATGGAATTAAAATAAAATTGTAAAATTTAAATATTAGAAATTTTGATTACTCAAAATATGACTAAATTAAATGAAAATTAAACTTTACAATCTAAATTAAGAATTAAATTATAAAATTTGAAAAGGTGAGAGATGTTAAAATTATAATTAGGATATTATAAATTTTATTTTAAAAAATATGAGGTGGTAGTGGGCCAGCAGTGGCCTTAAAAATACCCAAATCACAACCTTCATCTTCATATCCTTATCAAAATTTCTTTACAGTTTCACAAAACAAACGTTTCATTGTTTAACATTCACTCACAAACCCAGAACTAAGTTTCCTGCTCCCCTGCTTTCATTTCCTGCAAGATCCAGTCAGATGACCACGAAGATTCCTCCTGGTACTGCTTCGTTTCCTTGGGTATAACCCCTTTCTTCCTTTTACTTTCTTTTTCCTCTTTCATCCGTAGAAATTTCAGGTCGTCGTTGGAAGAAAAGAACACACAATTTTCTTCTTCTAATTTCTAAACCTAGATCTAGTTTCTTTCAACCGTAGAAATTTCTGGTCTTTTTGATTGATTTTTGTTTTTGTTTTTGTTTTGCAATAACGGTGGGATAACGCTTATAGCGTCCCGTTATCGACGCTTCCCACCGTAACCCGTTAAATTGCAGGCGTGATAGACCGTTTTTTATGTGAATCTGTTACCCACCGCTAAAATCATCAATACCGATTTCGGACGGCGACGCTACAGCGAAATTACGGCCGCTATAGTATTTTCGGTCCGCTATTTAAAACCCTGTCTGCAGCAGTTCGAAGACGTAGGCATAATTGGCTGAACTCCGTTATCAATTTTATTTTTCCGCTTTTATTTCGCATTCTCACTAATCTGGTTATAGGGAAATTACTCGTACTCATTTATTTCCCAACAACTGGCATCAGAGCTTTTGGTGGTGAATTTTGTCGGTTTTTCTGTGATGTTACTATTTATTACTATTCACGTGAATAGTGAATCCCGTGAATAGTAAAAAAAATTCGACGATACGAATTTGTCGACGGAGGTGTTTTAATACATGGTGGTTCGCAAAAATTGTCAGAAACGATCCAAACGAAGCCAGATTCGAGTGGAAGCGATGGCTGCAGACGAAGGGAAGGTAAAAATTGAAAAGTTCGATGGTGCGGACTTTGGCTTTTGGAAGATGCAGATTGAAGATTTTCAGTACCAGAAAAATCTATATCAATCTCTCTCATTAAAGTAACCAGAGGGCATGAAGAATGAAGACTGGGCTCTTCTCGACAGACAAGCCCTCGGAGTTATCTGACTGACGTTATCCCATAATGTTGCTTTCAACATAGAAAAAGAAAAGACCATGGCGGGTCTTATGGCGGCTCTCTCCAGTATGTATGAGAAACCATCGGCCTCAAACAAAGTTCACTTGATGAGGCGAATATTCAATTTGTGGATGGCAGAAGGGGCATCAGTGGCTCAACACCTAAATGAACTCAACACAATCACAACCCAGTTGAGTTATGTGGAAATTGAATTCGATGATGAAGTTTGAGCTTTAATTCTCTTATCAGCTCTACCAGGCAGTTGGAATGCTATTGTTACAACAATCAGCAGCTCGTCGGGAAACAACAAATTAAAATTCAACGATGTTCGAGATCTGGTATTGAGTGAAGAAATTCGACGGAGAGAATCGGGTGAAGCATCAACCTCCTCAGCCTTGCACACGGAGTCTAGAGGGAGAACTTCAGAAAGAAATTCAAATCGTGGCAGATCCAAATCTAGAACGGGAAAATCAAGAATAGGAAAGAAAGATTTTACCTGTTATAATTGTGGCAAGAATGGTTACTTTAAAAGAGATTGTCGAGCACTGAAGAAAGATACCGGCGCACATGAAGCCAACATGACAGAGGAGACAGGTGATTCCATGATTTTAAGCATCAACAGTCCGATTGAATCATGGATTTTGGATTCAGGGGCATCTTTCCACTCCACCCCATGCCAAGAAATCATGGAGAATTATATCAATGGTGATTTTGGGAAGGTTCATCTAGCTGATGATGAAACCTTGAAGATCGTCGGAAAATGAGACATCTGATTAAAGCTGCCAAACCAGACCATCTGAAAGCTGAAAGGAGTGAGATATATTCTTGGCCTCAAAAGAAATTTGATCTCTGTTGGACAGCTTGATGGAGAAGGATATTGTACAACCTTTTCAGGCTGTGAATTAAGAAGACTGATACTCTCTATGTAACCTCAAATTTAGAGAATATCATTACAGTAGCAGACGATGATGAAAAATCAAACTTATGACACCAAAGGCTTGGCCATATGAACAAGAAAGGGATGAAGACACTTTTGTCAAAAGGGAAGCTGTCGGATCTAAAGAATGTAGATGTCGGACTATGCGAGGATTGCATCTTTGGCAAACAAAAGAAAGTCAATTTTGCAAAGATTGGCATGACACCCAAGGCAGAAAAGTTAGAGTTGATTCATACTGATGTATGGGGACCATCTCCAGTTCCATCTTTTGCAGGCTCACTATATTTTGTCACCTTCATCGATGATTATACAAGGAATGTGTGAGTTTATTTTCTGAAGAAGAAATCAGAAGTCTTTGATACATTCAGAAAATGGAAGGCCATGGTGGAAAATGAGACTGGTTTGAAAGTCAAGCGGTTGAGGTCTGATAATGGAGGAGAGTACAAAAATAGTAGATTTGGAGAATTTTACGCAAACAATGGGATCAAGATGGAGACAACAGTTCCCAGACACAGCAGAAGAATGGCGTAGCGGAGCGCATGAACAGAACTCTGAATGAACATGCTAGAAGCATGAGGATACATGCCGGATTGCCCAAATTGGTGGCAGAAGTCGGAGCAAAACGTGGTATTCATTGGTGCACGTGGCAATCTCTTTTTTCGTTGAAAGAGGATGGAGGTTTAGGTTTTTGGGACTTAGTGAAATTTAATATCATTTTTTTAGCAAAACAAGGTTGACGGTTGTTAACAAATCTTAATTTCGTTGTTAGTCACCTCATCAGAGCAAAATATTACCCGTGTGGGGAGTTCCTTGGTTCAAGACTTGGGTCCCACCGATCTTACATTTGGCGGAGTATCTAGAGCTCGAAATGATTGCTTGAGAAAGGTTTACGATGGAAAGTGGGGTCAGAAGAAGTGGTCTCTAATTGGAACTATTTCTAGCTCCGGGGGCTTTCTCCACAAAAAGTTCTAACTCCTACTGTTGATTCAGTTTCATGTGTTTCAGATATTATGTTGGAGGAGTCAAGACAATGGAACATGGAGCTTATCTCGACCATTTTTTTGGAGGCGGATAGGGACAAAATTCTGGCTATGCCTATCTTACTTTTTTGTTAGGTGGATTGCGGTGTATGGTATGGGGAAAAGTCTGGTTTGTATAGTGTGCATAGTGGTTACTGGTTATTGTTGGGGGAGGATGAAGTTTCACAGTTATCTGCAGAGTTCTTCAAGTGTTTTTGGGAGTGCGCATGTTAACGGAAAATCATGATTCAGATGTGGAATTTTTTTAATAATTTCATACCTTCAAAAAAATCTTTTTATTAAAAAATTAGTTGTAGATCCTTATTGCTAGAATTTTTTTAATGTAATTGAATCAAATGTGCATATCAACAAAGATTGATTAGCTCATGCAGTGTGAGAGGGGTTATTAATTCGTCGACCTTCTTAACGTAACTCGACTCATTTTTAATAGTGGTTTGGGTGGCTTTTAACTCATCTTTCAGTTAGTATGAGACCAATTATTTTTGTTGGCATTTGGGCACTGTGACATGCAAGTAATTTACAGTACCATGAAGGGAAAAAGATGGGGGTATATGAGATTATTACCTCCATTCGTGCTCAATGTCAAGACTTTTCCATGGCAAATGCGAGGATCCAACTGTCCCAGTCAGGCTTTATCGCTCAGTGGAGTCCACCGTCTCCCCCATCTGTCAAAATAAAATTTGATGCATGTTTCAAAGAAACAAGGAATACAACATGGTGATGCATTTTAATTTGTGATGCTGCGAGCAACATTATGAGGGCGAGCAGGAGGAATATTAGTCGGATTACCTCGGCGTTTGTGGCTGAAGCAACTACGGCTATTCACGCTGTAGATCTTCATGTTGATTTGGACTTCAAGGATGTGGTGATAGAGGGGGATTC